CTCCTGCTACTTTTGTTCGAGTGTCTGTGTCATTGTCCGTCTGTGTGTGTGTATTGACGTCAATACGCGATACACTCTTGATTTATAAGTAGGTTTTCAAGACTACCAGTAGATCTGATATAAGAACTGCATTAAACCAATTTCGTTGTTCAATTTTTCCGCAATAATATGAATTAACCTTAAGTTTTCTTTGGATTTCGCATAGCATTGCTATCTCAAAAGGTATTCTCATCAAAAATACACGATACTGGTCCTAAATTAGAGTGATAAAAAAGGGCTAATGTCATGCTCTGATCGTCAAGGTTTAATGATCCAAGAGAAAGTCCTGACCGAGACGATGGACGAAAGCTCGGCCTATTTTCATCCGAAACGAATGAGGAGGTCTCGCGGATTGCGTCAACTTGAACGTCGTATAAAAGCCAAACGGCGGCAGTACAACGAAATTCATCCGTTCTCTTGTGGTGAGATCGACCTGCGAATCTCTTCTTCATGCACTTTCATACCAAATTAAAGTACCCCCAACAATGTTATCTCAGGAGATTCGTCGAGACCCAGTTACTCTTAGCAAGTTGGTTTACACCCTTTGTCCAAGATAAAGCTATAACACTAACGATGTCATTGATGCTATGAGCTCTACTTCGTGATGAAAGTGACAGAAAATACATGAAAATTTGTATTATTAATGAAATTGCCATCGGAAATGAATGTAGGAGATTAACAGAACATATCTGTGTATATATGTTGAAAAACTATTTTTCCCAGAATCCTATAATAATATATTGATGTTGGAGTACCTTTCATTTTTTTTAGAGAGGCGAGTTGAAAGGATTCATAAGTTCGTCTCACCGGAAGTCGAATGGGAGTTATTTTGGGGCTGTTACTGAAGAGCTGCGCGAATGGGTCCTTAACTCACCGACCTGTATCTTTGATGAGATTTCGTGTGACGGACATCACAAGATCAGGACAACATACTTTACGATGCTTGTCTTCGTGTTTTGGCGACTTATCGTAAAACATGTTGTCCTACCCTTACAATATCCTTCACATGACCGACGAAATCTTAGCAAGGAATCATCGGCATCGTGGGGTAGTGAGCCGGGGGCTTATGCACACAAATATACAGTCATAACTCTAAGGCAACCCCCTCCGACTCCCGGTAGGGCCAACCTATGAATCCCTTCCAATCGCTTCTTCAAACGAAATATAAGAAACTCCCTGCTCCTATCCGTGTCTTTCAAGAAGGATAAAATATAGAGAAGGTTGTAGGCTACAGCCTTAATTTAGGAATTAGAAGTTGAATATCCTCCGATCTGAATCTTCTAATATATTGAGGTTGTTTGACCTTGTTTTAGCAACTTGGTCATATTGGTAGGAAGACTTAGAGGAACGCACATAGTCCGGAGACCATTGTATGCATAATCATTTCTAAAGTCGGACCGTGCACGTAGTACTTTCCCAGACGTTCACGGGAATGTACCACGTCCACGGTCCTACTCTGGAAATGAGCATGCATACAATGGACTCCGGACTAGGTGCGTTCATCAAAGTTTTCCTACCAACATGGCCAAGTTGAGAAAACAAGGTCAAACAACTTCTATACAACGAAAGGAGACTGCAACCACACAAAGGACGACACCATCTTGGTCTTCATACCTTGTAATATATTTCTTATTATTGCATACAAATGTGCATAGATTATCCATTTCCTGGCCAATAGGGAGGCTCATGCAATGACACAGACCTCCAGCCCCATCCTGACTCGAAGTCATGGATTCAAGAAGTATTTTATGATAAATACACTTTTTCCTCACTGATAATTCCATTATACGGACGATTCGAACAAATCATAATTGCTCTGCCATAAACTAGCTTTCATGTTTGTGTAGCTGAGTGTTAAAGCGTCGCCACGATGTGCACGATCCGATTTCAAATCTCGTTGGGGTGGAAATGAGTACGAAACTGCAGTCTAACCGGATTGAGGCAAAACCTTTGGGAGGGGAGGCTAAAGGAAACTTGATGGCATCTTCAAGTCTACTCATGGTACTATTAGTCTCTAATATATCTCAATTAAATTAGACTGGCCAAGCACTCATTTAAAACTGTAGATAAACAATAAATTTCGAGTATGCTTTTATGCTTCAAAAACTAATACTTGGCAGAAAGTGAACTTAGTTCCACCTCCAGAAGTAATTTACAAAATTCTATCATTTATTCCTAAAATGTGCATCGATTATTTTTTTTATATATCTTTGATATTCACACATCTATACAATCATGCTGTCTAAAAATATGTTTTTGAGTATTTATTAATTGTGATAGTTCGATATTCGGGTGAAATAATGCTCTTTATACTATAATGCAACGTGATAAACATTTGTTTACCATAACGATTCTAATCGAATATTTTATTAGGCAAACACTAAGAAGGGAGAAAATAAGCTGGATCCTACAAAATTCATGCATTTTTCAGTTTAACTGACAAATTAACATATAAAACTACTAAAGCCATTAGGCAAGCAAACAGTGAATTAGCATATAATAAACGAAAAATCGGCATATGCCGCTAGTGTGGTAGAGAGCTTGTGCAAATAGGCCAAGTTTGGTTGGGGTGAGTGAAAGAGTAGGAGAGTCTAGGAATGGAAATGTAATTAACCAGTCAGTTTGCGAACTGCAACAGGGAATGTATAAAAATTCCTGTTCGGGTCAGATGGTAGCATGCATTAGGGAGGTGCTGAATGAGGGTGTAATAAACACCTCTGGGAAAACACCTTTTGATGGCTAGTTAGCATGTTAGAAAGAGAGGTTTGCGTTGAAATTGTATTGTATTATGTGACTGCAAGAAGAGCAATCAGTCAGTGCTCCAATTTCCGATTCAGCTGGGGCCATGGCTCTTGTTCCAACCAGCAAGTATTGTGTAGATGAACCCTACTACTTGAGGCCGACAGAGACAAAAGGAAGATGACACACTTGCTGTTGGAGAGTTTAAAAAAAATTTGGTATTTAGTGCTCCCTATTTTCGGATGCTCTCAGCCTTCCCATGACGAGATAACTCTTGTGCTGTGAAAGGGGCTGCGCTACTCTCTTCAGCGTAGGTCAGCCTGTGGGGAAATGCAAAATCCAATTATGGCATAAACTAGTGCACCAGGACACTGAACTAGAAATTAGTGTCGTAGTTGGCAGCCGAATGGCAAGTCCACTTTGGGCGAAAAGTTATTCTCATTTTAGATGCGCGAACAATGTTCATGTGTGATTTTAATAAGTACAAAAGATGGAGAGAGGCATTATTTCCATTATACGGGAGGATAATTTGCCCATGTTTAGGCGCCATTGTTACTAATGAAAATGAATCATTGGCGGTATCTTAAACCGACTCCGTGAATAGCATAAAAAAATTGAAGTTGGCATCTTCCCGGAGCTCACCCACTTGCGGCGTCTGGGCTACAGAACTGGCTCGTTTAAGATCTGCTTGAGAGATAAACAAAATCAGCTCAAAGAGTAGAGACTGGACATGCTTAGACCTAAACTCTATTCTTCAAACAATACTCCCAAACTTGTTCACCACCTCATAGGCTTGCAGACGCAGTGATGAGAGAAAACGCTCTGCTTCTGATAGTCATTGAGTGTATTTACATTTCGTGCTAGTGTTGCTGAGTTAAAGAAAACCCATTTAATTAAATTTGCATTTTGGCCATTGTCTTTGCTTCGACTTTATCTTTCCCATCTTAACTGGCTTATTCTCGCATCGGATGCATGAAATGTCCGTCTAACGGGCGGAATTTCGGCAGACTTCAACTCTTCCGTACTTGAGGCCAACCGAGGCAGGATTGCGATTCTGTGCGAGGCAAAAGTTGGCGAGCGGAAGAAGGTAGATATTGAATGGGGTCAAGGCGGCGGGAGAAATGGTGGCAATCCCTAAGCTAACGAGTCGGTTTGCGGAGAGATGGACTTGTCGAGACAAATCGAGGACAGGTCGAGGCGAGGTAGAAAGCGAATCGGAGGAGTAAATGGTCTGTCGAACTGTGGAGTCGAGGCCTTCGCAGGCACTCGTGTTAATTGCAATGGTCTTGGAGGCAATTGAGCCAGTGCAGAACACCGGCGAAGGCCCGTCCATCGGGTTTGCT